TGGTAGTCATCGAACAACGTGTTCAACTCCTAGGACGCGGCGCATCCGGCGGATTGTGGATTTCATGCTAAATGCTGATAAGTCGCGGCCAAGTCCAGCACCAGCCTCCTGTGAAGCTCGGTCAACACTGGCTTCTTCTCGGACGGGTCCACTCGGCCAGACTGCAAAGTTTCATTCGCCTCAGCCAGCGGTTGTGCGGCATGCGCTTCAGAAACCAGAACGCAGTCCACTCAGTGCAAAAATATGGAAGGCCTAGTCACTGCAGCAGCAAGCTTCTGGCGCTTCATATGATCCCGTTGGTTTTTCCCTGGGTTCCGTTTCTTCTTCTTCGGGATCTCGGCCGCATTCTGCTGCTCTTCCTCGGTCGACCAAGAAACGGATAATGACAACTGAGACTGCAAGCGATCCATTTAACTTAATTTAAAACAATCACTCTCGAGTGGCCTTGCTCCCTGCCTGGACCTCCTCGGGCTTCTCGGTCTTCGGCTCCTGCAGGACAGTTCGGCGTTGACTCGCCAATGACACGGAATTTTGCTCGAAACTATATGAATTGCTCCAGCCAGAGTCCTGCTCCGCCGCGGGGGCGGGGGTCGGACCAGTGCCAGGAGTCGAGGAATCAGCACGATCAGCCATGTCCGAGAATGGAAGCTCCACGCGAGCTCTGCTAAATCAAATCTGCTGCTTGAATAGATGCAGTTCGCTACGTTTACGAATGTACTGGTCTAAGACTATGTCAGTGTGAGCGTCCCGGTGCCAGGTGGCATTAAATCATAATGAGCAGTTCCCCAGTTGTCTCGTTGGCTGTTGCCTCATGCCTTCCATGCATCTTGCTTTCTAACTTGTGGCTTCTCAGCTGCGAGATATCAATATCACAAGTCCAAAGCCATGAATATGCAAATCATGCAACTTCAATCACGCAAAGCGAGCAAGACTAAAGCTCGGGCCGGAACATCCTCTGGCCCCTTGGGCGATTGCCGCCGTCGGACCTCGGACTACGTGGGTCGCGGTGCATATGCAGGCTTGAGGCATGCACCACCTCGAGTGGCTGGCTGCCACAGTGCGCCCCCACGAGCGCCTCAGGAGTGAATTGCAACTCCCCAGACGACTTACACCAGCATCTTCCACCTCGGCCGGCTGCCACAGCACGCTCCACGAAGAACCTCGGAGTGCAAGGCGTCATTAAGCGAGGGAGCTATATGATTTGATGCATGCTCCTGGTTTGGGTCTTGATTCTGAAACTGAAGGACCTGTTCCGTAACGGAACCACCAGCTTCTTTTGTTTACGCCGGTCGCCGGGCTTAAAGATTAGGGTTCAGGCTGCGGGTTCAAGGTTGAGGCTTTCGATTCGTCTTACGGGGGCACCCTAACTAAGTTCCCTGAACCTCCAATCCTTGCAAGCACTTGGCATTTGCTGGGAGTCTGACGGCGAGAACAATGTCAGCTCGGGCGGGAACTTCGCCGTCGGACCTCGCGCGATGCACTAGCTACTAAGAGGCTGCTGACAACCAAGTCAGCTCGGGCCGGAACAGTCGTCGCTGTCGGACCTCGGGCAACGCACACTGAAATGCAAATTTACGCTTAGGAGTCTGATGAGAAATGGGAAAGCTCGGGCCAGAACATCCTCGGGCTCACCACTCGTCACCATCGGGCCTGGGCCCACACACTAGCACTCTATTCATGATGCAGGTTGGGTTTGGGTGTCTCTGAGTTCTTGCTTGCTGTGTACCGGAATCGGTAGTTTCTCAAACTTGGGGCGCAGGTTTTGTGGCATACCGGGCCATTATTACTCTCACAACTCGGACATGCCGGGCGACATCTCGGGGTTTAGATAGTTGGGGTTCCTGGACTTTATAGCCAAAGCGAACAAAACAGTAAAATACGGCACTCCCAGAACCCTCAACCCCGTGACTGAAATCCCTAAGTACCGAAACCTCGCCTGGTCTTAGCATCCCTGGAAATCCGAAGAAGGTCGCTTTCGTGCTTGGGGTTTGAGGATGTAGGGTGTGGGGGTTTGGTCTCGCGCACACAGCAGGCAAGGCTCCTCGGTGTGGGGGTTTAGGGTGTAGGGCTTTGGGGTTGTGAGGTTTAGGCTCGGGGTTCGCCTTCATGATAGCGGAATCGTACATATGGGTACAGAGGTATAGTCGTGAGCACCAACCAGCTAGTCCTTAGTATCATGCTTCAGTAGGTACTCTACGAGGGATGTCGGCGCTCCCACTCAGACACTCCAGCAAAGACTCGGACAGATGGGTTTATGCGTATCATTAAGTACTTGTAGGGTTCAGGGTTTGGGGGTTTGGGCTTGGGGGTTGTAGGGTTTTGGGTTTAGGGTTTGTGTCCTCGGACGTCCTCGCTCGGACGTGACCTCAGTGAGTGCTCTGACAAACAAGGCCAAGGCCCTGTCTGAGCAGAACACTGAAGGAAGTTGGAAGCTCTGACAAACAGGGCCGAAGCCCTGTCTGAGCAGAACTTCCGCGAGGATGAGTGCCATGACAAACAAGGCCGAAGCCCTGTCTGAGCACGGCACTCGGCTTGAAAAGTTGAAGGCATGACAAACAGGGCCGAAGCCCTGTCTGAGCACACCTTCCGCGCCTCATAGATGGAGCCGGCGATCGTCGTCTCCGGCTCCATCCACGCCAGCCGCCAGCCGCTCAGGGGGGTGATGGAGGTTTACGGGTTTAAGGCTTAGGGTCTAAGTTCGGGTGATGAAATTAAGGGTTCAGGGTGCAGGGCTTAGAATACCCAACTGTAAAACAACCTGATCTACCAAATGAGGGCTTAGGAGGTCTGTGGTTGGGGACGGTTTAGGGTGGAGGGGGCGAGGTCGAGGTTGAGGGCCTAAGAGGTCTCAGGCTGGGGAAGGCTTAGGGTGTAGAAGATACTATGGTTACCGGCACCAAGCCCCTAAATCCTAAACCTAACAAAATTTGCGTGTGATCCCTAAACAAAACTAAAACCCCCTCATCTCAATATTGTCATTAGTATAAACATATTATATAGATATATATACATATATATATATATATATGTATATAGGGTATATTTAATAAACCCTACGTCCTAATAAGCCCTGAAGCCCCAAAGCCCAAAAACCTTGAACCCTTAATAAAGCCTAAAACCTTTATAAACCCTCAAGTTCCTGAAGCCCTATGATCCCGGAATCCCACAACCTTGCCACCCAAGGAATCTTAAGTGAACCCCTATATATATATATATATATATATATATACATATATATAAAAAAATATACATATTATATGTAAAGGGGTTTAAGGCTTAGGGTTTAGGGTCATAGCTCAAATATACATATATTACATTCAGTTCATTTCCAAAACCCATACCGAAATCCTGAACTCCACCTCGGCCCCCGGCATTGTGCCTCGTCTGTTGTCGCCGAAGTCCATGGGGCGGAGAGGGGGAGGGGCAGGGGGTACTCGGGCGACTCGGGCGAGGCTTCAGGGCTCAGGGTTAGAGTGGGGCTACTGGGCCCAAAAGTTTCGGGTTGCTAAGCCTTTAAGCCAAGCTAGAACAACGTCAAACTCCTCTATACTAAATCCTAAAGTTGTGGTAATGCCCTAATGCCCTGAAGCCCCAAAGCCCAAAACCCTTGAACCCTCAGTCACTTAAAGCCCAAAACCTGGATAAACCCTGAAGCCCGAAGACCCCTGACGACAACGACGACGACCACGACAGTCACAACATCTCGATCACCACCATGCCAGCAGCGCAGCAGCAGAAACAAACAGATCAACAACATAAGATCCATCAAAAAACAACAACCAGAAAAATTAAAAAATTAACGCTATTTAACCCTAAGTATAGAAACCCTACATTCTACTATATCCCTACTTTGGTCCCTTTGGGCTTGGGCTTCAAGTTAAGAACACTGACACAACGACAAACCCACAATCTCTGCGGCCATGGGTTCCATATCGATGAACCGCGGAGGAGTAGGGCTCTTGAGCAACTGCAAGGCAAACCTCAACCGCAAAACCAAAGCCAGATTACCGGAAGATCCAAACCTTTCAAGTCCCGGGCTTGAACCTAAAACCATAAACCGTAAACCCTGAACCCTAAACCCTAAACCCTGAACCCTGAACGCTGATTCCTAAACCCTAAACCCTAAATCCAATTGCCAGGACCGAACCCAGTGGCCTGAACTTTCTCGAGGACCTGCGTGCACAGGTGCAGGTGCCGCAGATGTTATGGTACATTTACGGCCTAGTAGGAGTAGAATCATACAGGTTTCCCCAGGGAACCATGATTTTGACACTTATGCACATAGCTGTGCTTTGATAATCTTCTCTTCTTCGTCATGCTGTCGTCGAGGCTCGTGGTCTGGGGCGGTAGCTCGGGATCTAGGCTACCTGTATTGTCCCACCACTAGCACTGTCCCGCCTGGCGAAATCATCCATAGCCTAACAAAAACCTGCACCAAGCCTTCACCGACCCTGACACTAGTTGACACGTTTTGAACTGAAGGGTGATCAACCTTGTCATCGTATCCGCGACCGTTGACCATGCCCACCATCATCTGTCTTCATCTTCCTCATCACAAAAACCTTCAAACAGGTTGCAACCACCGTCACAAATACCATCATGACCATCCTTATCAACGGTATACAGGTAGAACTTTAACCTCACTCCTATCTTTGACTACAGTATGAAGCTCATAATGCAACCGTGATACTGCTATCAACAGTCCGTGCGTTGGTACGACATGTTCCCAGTATAATACCTGGAGGATGACTCTGATCATGACTGCTTGGCAGCTTCAGTTGACCAAGCCCCATGCAAACATTTAAAGCGCTGCATAACCCGTAACCCCTGAACCCCTGAACCCCCGAACCCTAAAACCCTATAAACCCTAAAACCCTGAACCCCAAACGCCCAAAACCCTTAACACACAACCCTAAACCCTAAAACCAAAAACCCTGAACCCTGAATACCCCAACCCCTGTACCCCCAAACCTCCGAACCCCAAAAGCTGAGTGCTCCGCCTCTTTCACGAGGTCGCTTAGCTCCCGGAGTTGACCCAAGCGGATAGCACGGCGATGTGTCGCGTCCTCACCACGACACTGGTCTTTCCTAGAATCCTACGGGTTCGGGGTTCAGGGTGTGGGGTTTAGGGTTTAGTGAAGTTTAGTGTTTAGGGCGTGGGGTTTAGATTTAGGGTCAGGGTTTAGGGTGTAGGGTCCAGAGGACCCATTGCAACGCAGATTTCTTTAAATTTTAAGAGAGTAACTGAGTACGGGATAGCTAGGCACTCGGACGCGGAGGGTGAGTGTTCTGGGAGTACAGAGTAGGATTTCAGTTTAGGGCTTGGATTGTTTTGGGCCCATTATACTACAATTATAGTAAGGAACGCCCAAAACAGTATAGGTAATTATTAAGGGCTGTATATTGGGGTTTAGGGGGCTGCTGCGTCAGACCAAGCTCCTTCGCTGCACGGGAGGCTGAGCGGGACGTGGATTGCATGAGATGGAGCCAACCCCGACTTGCCCGGTTTACAGAGAAAATTTAGGGTTTAGGGTTTAGGGTTTAGGGTTTTGGGGGTTGTATGGAGATGATAGTACCAACAAGACGTTAGGGTTCCCGAACCCCAGGACCTGCACCTCAAACCCCAAACCCAAAAGCTCTTGCACCTCTTGCAAAGACTCGCACAAAATCCTAAAACCCAAACCCCTAAACCCTAAAGCTCAAACAAAAACCTTCCGGGGTTCCGGCCACTCGCACGGCCTTGCCCAGATAACGTTCTGGCCTGGGCGTGGGCATAGGAATATCATATTGGGGTTTAGGATTTGGGGTTTAGGGTGTAGGGTTTGGGGTCTAGGGTTTTCGGAAGGGTCGAACTTGGTGTGAGATTTCGAGTTCTGTTTGACACGCTGTGCGGTGTCTGTGCGACATTTGAAGGTTTTGTGTTGCTTTTGGGGTTATGAAGCGCCTTAAACCCCTGTAGGCATCAACCCGCAACCCGAATCCCCGACCTGAAATCCACACCAGAAGCACCAAACTATGCCGTCATCAAAGGAACCCTTCACCCTAAACCCCCTAAGTTTATGTCAAGTCTAGAGATACGATGATTTCCAGAAACAGGAGGAAAAATAGGAAATAGATAGGACTTAAGGGTCTATAGGGGAAGAAATACGAACAACTAGGAAACTCAACCATAAGAATAACATAAGAGAGAAATAGGAGAAACATATAGGAGAAGCATTGGGGAAAAATGTAGGAAACACCTAGGAAAATAGGAAATTACACCGGGCCGCAGGGTGGAAAGTGGCGCGGGGAGCGCGGGCAGGTCCTATTTGTCTCCTCCTCCTATTTTATTTGTACTTTCGAAAAACCAGGATTCCCTTTTGCTTCCTATTTTCTTCCTATTTTGAGCCACTTGCGATCTGACTAGAGTTGACATAAGAGATTGACATAACCCTAAGTCCCCAAGTCCTCAGCCCTACACCCTAAACGACTTTTCGGTGACCCGACTGTAAAGGAAACAAGATCGTTAGGGCCATAGATAGGAGCTGAGGCCAAAGCACCGCCACCTCGTGCGACCACTGGACCTGGGAGGTTTCAGGTTTAGGGTTTAGGGGGTTTGGGGTTTGAGGGTTTAAGGTTCACCTTAACCCTGAATATATTCTACCTCTTTAGGGTTCCGCAGTATGATTTCCTTGTATGCGTCCATTCCGTGTTAAGGCTGGGTTAGTTTTTATTCTTTTAATGGGCCCTTATCCGTCTGCACTTGCGTCCGAAACGCCCAAAGTTGAGGGAGCCAGTTGGACCCAACTCCGTTAGGTTTAGATTTTAGGGTTTAGGACCTTCGGATCGATGCCTGAAGGCTCTACAACTTTTGGTTTAGGGTTTAGAGGTTAGGGTTTAAGGCTCCTTTAAGGAATCTATAAGGGTTTAGGGTTTAGGGTCTACCTATAATTAGTCTCCATTGTAGTTCCTTTTTCTGGTAAACCAGAATCTCTATTACAGGATCCTAACCATAAAGCTGGTTAACCAAAAAAGGAACTACGATGGAGACCATCGGTACAACTGTTAGTCTAGAGGCGTTAGGATAGCTAGGTATAGATAGACTAGAGACTGTGACTACAAACAATGACCCGGGGGAACACTGTCCCACCAGTGATTCCCGTATCGTGCGCCTTCGGATTTCGGGCTTGACCTTTCGACCGTTCTTGGGGGGGCCTAGGATCTACGGGATGTGCTTTTTTTTCTGGGTTACGTATCTATTCCGCATGTTCCTTAAAATCGCATTTGCACTGCCACAATATGGCTCCCAATCCGACCGGGGGTGTAATCCACAGACCCTACGCTTACATACTCTGCAGGTCGATGATCCAGAAATCTTTGCATTTTGCTACGGTGAAGCCGATATCTCTATATATGCTGCTGCTGATGGCAAACTGTGGTGGGGAAGGCGAGTTCTGGTGGACTTCTGCTAGCGGGTAGTACACGGGGATGGTATCAAGACACTGACGGAAGGTAAGCTCTGATGGCCAGCCCTTTTGCGAGCCTCTGTCAACTTGGGCAATCGGTGGCTGCTTCGTCGGCGTTCAGCGCCTGTCCATAAGTTGCCATCTGCGGCTTTACTGTTTAGACTTGAGGGTCTTATGTTTGAGTTTCCAGGGTTTAGTGGTTATAAGGTTTGAACTCTAGACCACCTTTCCGCCGCACGCAAATCCACGAGATCAACTACGGATTCATGATTGAACTCTAGACCACCTTTCCGCCGCACGCAAAATCAACGAGATCAACTACGGATTCATGATTGAACTCTAGACCACCTTTCCGCCGCACGCAAATCCAAGCAGCCGCGAAATCCTGACAGAACAACTCGCCAGAACAAACAGTATCAGTTTCGAGGGGCCGCTGCCAGATGGCCATGCATATGTCCATAAAGGGAACTCCAGAAAGTTGGAATATGGATTAATGGTAGGATCCCCTATAATTTACCTTAAAGGGGTTACGATAATGATAGTCCAACTTTCTGGCTTCTACTGTATGTGTGTACATTTACTTGCGGGGTGTGGGCATCATCGCGTTCATCTGCATGCTTTGGCTGCAATCATCGAGTTCATTTCAGGCACATAGGCGCACCCACAAGAGGCACATTTACATCAAGCAGCACACACATTCAAATGAGGGAGGGGTTGAGAAGCAGACAGAGACAGAGACAGAGACAGAGAGAGAGAGAGAGAGAGAAGAAAGCACGGCAGGGCAAGAGAGAAGACGAGAAAACGAGAAAGTGGAGAGAGTGAGAGACAGAAAGAGAAAACACACAGAATCAAGACGGAGAGAAGGACCAAGAGAAAGGGAGAGAGAGAGAGAGAGACAGAGAAAGAAACAGACAAGCACATGAATGTATGCAGGCATTCGAGCAAACATCTATCTGGCTTAGCGAACACGCGGAATCCTGGAACACAGGGATTCAAGGATTCGGGTTTGCGGGGTGAGGGGTTAAGTCATGCCGCTTGCCGTTCAGGGCGTAGACCAGGCTTACGGACCAATCCACTGTTCATATTCCTTGTCGGGACTACTGCGGGACGGCGGGCTTCGAACCTGGTCTGCAGAAATCAATCGAACGACAGTCAAAAGATCACTGCGCCCTTGGACTTCTCATGTAGCTGATACTTAAACCTCCAAAGCAGGTAAAATAGTGACCCAGCACCTACAAAAGGCCATTCTTCTACATACTTGTAGGGTTCTGGTATAGGCCACCCCATAAGAAGGATCGGCATGTTCTGCCCGACAGCCGATGCCCAGAGTTCCCCTAAACAGGATCCTTGTTAGGGAGTCGAGGCTTTCGGGAGAATAAGATTTACAGGTTTATGGGGTTTGAGGGTTTAGGGTTTAGGGTTTAGGGGTTAGGCTCTATTGATTCAAGGCTTATGGGGTGAAGGCCTTCTAGCCATTCATGGCGGGTGCTTGCGGTCCAACAACAGAGGGAGCATGTTTCACCGTTTCACCGCTGACATGCGGCATGTACAGCCAAACAGCAAAGCTGCAGCTAGGTCTGAACAAACCATTGATCCTGTTCAGAAAATGCGACATACCGCAAACGATGCATTTCCCTAAAAACACAAACCCACTCAAAGATCCAGAAATCCCTTAGTGTGGACCCTTATCGCAAACCCACAGCGGTCTGTTCTTTTTGGGACTCGTAGGCAAAGATGCAGTCTCTAAAGATATTCTCCCGCTCACTCGTCTGACTTCTTCCCCTTGGCAGTCGCTTTCAGTTCAGGGCGTCATGTAGGAGGATTGCGCATGTAGTTCGGAATACTAGCTGTTCAGACCCATATATGGAAGAAATATAGAAACCCCCTGTGGAGCTCTTATAGCAGCCGGATGGAGAACGTTTGAAGGAAGCCCATTCTAAGTGTTCAAGTGCAGAACCCCAAACAACAGTACCCGGACTCATGAAAGAAGTGCCCCGAAATAAGATACGCATATCTTCTGGATAATCCGAATATGGCGAGACCTTGGGGTGAGGGGCTTAGTGCAGGCGTGTAAGGCTTAGCGTGCAGATTCGTGTAGGGTTTAAGGGTCAGGGGCTGAGGGTTTGGGGTTCTGTGTGTTGCGAAACTGCGAAAACAACCGGAGACCTCAACGCAACCCTCTATCACAACACCCTGGACTCTGGACCCTACTTCCAGATCCTGAAAGCCTATCCACGGGCCCCGAGACAGGACATTAGCTTTTGGATTGTACTATGAGAGTACCTTAATATAGGGGCCTTGATAGTTAGAATAGGGTTTGGGGGCCCATTAGACTACGTATTACGTATATTTGTAATACGGAACCCCCCCCAATAGTAGTATAGTTGAGTATTTAGGCCCCCGAAATTATGAAAGGATAGCTGTAAGGTGTCTGCCCCCCGGCTGAGAGGATGAGGGCTTCGCGGGTTCTGGATTCATAGGGTTGATGATATAAATCCCGGATTACCCATAATAAGGAGTAGAGCATAATTCCCATAGTTTAGGGTCCTTAAGGTAATGCCTTGTTTATATCATCAACAGGATCATACCTGTCCTCCCCGTTCTCCCAGATTTGCACAAGCACATACAGCTCAGCACATGTTCCACATGCGAAGTGTTCGCTTTGTATGTATTGTAACCATTGTCACCATGCACAGATACCTTGAACCTGACAGCCCTGAAAGCCCGACACAGACACAGCCCAAACAACTTGAAGCTCTGACACGACATATCATTGAACTTCCATTAGCCAAACCCTCAACACGCAAAAATCATTCCAAACCCTGACCCTGTCTCCAGTAATTCAGTAGCCCTGTATCATGGCTTTCTCTTGGTGTGAATATGCTACAGGTATTCTGAGACCACAATCAAGTAGCCTTCTTCTTCTTCTGGAGCTCAGCAGCGCGTGCCTGCTACGAAAGAAAGGAGTCGAACAACATGGAGCTTCTGAAGCCGCAGTACTCTAGCCATTGCGGGGTTTGGGATGTAAGGTCTATAGGGCTTTGGATATAGGGTCCGTGCTTCAGGATGGGCATACCGGCTTGTCAGAACTTTGTGTTGGGCATTAAATGCCTGAATCCCAAATTTTGGGATTCAGGCGTCGGGGACAGGCGACGTAACTTGGGCACAGTCGCAAGTGGTGATGATGGCGGTGATCGTGTGTTCTATGCCCGGACATATAATACTGCAAGTCAGCAGTGCCATAATAGCACGAAGCTGAACATGAATTGCGCTCCCGATGAAAAGCACTCTTTGAAACCTGAGCTTTTAACACTAAGCGAAAGCCTGAACCCCAAAACCCTAAAACCCAAAACCCTAAACTCCGTAAACCGAAGCAAGAGCAACACGCCTCGCGCTGCTCGTGGTGGTACTCCACAAGGCGCTGTTGGTACGCCGCCTTCGACGCAGTGATCGTGTGTGCTGCCTACGGTGTCTACAGTGCTCAGTGAGTGTGTGTCCGTCTGTGTATGTATCTTTATGAAGACACAGAGAGCGAGAGACAGAGAGAGAGAGAGAGGGGTTCGAAGAACCAGTCTCGTTCCAACTACTGTGGTATGTACATGTGGGTAGTTGTCAATATTAGGGTCCCTTTTTGGGTACCCTAAATATTAGGTGCCGTATTATCTTAAGGACCCAAAAAAGGACATCATTTTGACAACCAACCATGCGCATAAAGGACCCCCAGCCTGAGCTCACACATCCCGGGCCTTGTAAACGATTGAGGCAGAAACTCTGGGCGCACGCACAAACACACACGCGCACGCGCACGCCTATGTGCCAGATCTTTCTTTACATATATTTCTGCATTTATGTCTGTACATATGTCAATACAGGTTTAGCTGTGTTCGTCAGTGCGCGTTTCTGCATCTGCACATATAGATGGATGTAACTATATAGATGTCTATAACATCAATACACAAACATGGGCACAAAATACACATACGTGCATGCATGCATGCATGCACGCATACATACCCACGAACGTACGCACATACATGCATACATATATATATATATATATATATATATGGTCACACCCCCCCCCCCCATGATCCACCCCAGCCTTCTCCTCAACTACTCTTGTACTGTCCTCTGGTATAAGATGCGTATTGCTAAAGTCAGAATTTATCGGTATTTACGCTGTTTTATGCAGTTCATGTACATGTACAGATGCGGCTTTTCGCTTTTTATATCATATACAAACAAGCCAAAACCGAAACCAGATTCTGGTTCTGGATTCTGGTTCTGCTGCCGCGCTCTTGTCCACTGCTTCGTATCAGCTCTCGCTGTTCAAGTCAAAACTTGGCCATCCTATTTTGGAGTTTGTCGAACTACTTACGATGTACAGTTTGAATAGACACCGCTGCTCTTCTCTTCATAACATAAGCTGTAAGGACAACTCCTTCAGTGAAAGCAACCATGCCAGTGGTATGTTTGGCTTACTAGCAACATTGTAACCACACTAAACATAGGTGTTGCCCATCAGGAATCCCCGTGTATCTTCATGCTTCAGGGGAACCTCGAACAACATCATATTTTCAAAACTTCAACCGACAAGGGAAGCATGGTTGTTCTTGTTCAGGTGGTGTTATCAATAGAAATCTTGTTTCAGCACAAAGAAACACAATAAGCCACCTTAGTCCCTTATCAGTCGCTGGAACTCAGTGGCTGGAACTCAACGAGCTCTTGCAGTATACCAATACCACAAAATCGGAGTGATTAGGGAAAGACATGGTCTCCCTCCACCAAACTCCAAATACATTCGGTCACAAGCATAGTATGTCGAGCTTCTTACGCTTTATACTTCGTGGGAATTAAGACAAGCATGTATCTGGAAAGCATTCGTTATTGAACACATTTGTTTTTTCTTTTTAACAGATGCAAGACGATCCTGGCTCAGAACACATAATCGAGCTCCGTTGCCCCGCGCTACTCGCAAGAGTTATATAGCTCCTGCCATCTTTGAATACAGCATGAAACAGGTCCAGACCTCTCCTCATAGCCTCCAAGAAATGGTGGAAAAACATCTTTTCTCATTATGCTTTAGGGAAAACAGTCAAACACTGGACTTACTTCTTGAGCAAG